TTCTGCTCCTGCTGCTCACTCTCCTACCGCGGCAGGGTGAGCAGTGGCGCCGCCAGGGTGAGCCGAGGCCTTCCGAGATACATGGTCGAGCCCAGTGGGGTAGGGGGGAGAGGGGTGGTGGTAGGAAGGGGGGAAGGGGTAAGAAGAAGAAGAGAGGGAGGAGGAGGAGGAGGAGGAGGAGGAGATGGTTTAGTAATGATGGAGACGGGGAATGGGGAAGAGGAGAAGGGAAGAGAGAAAGAGAAGAGAGAAAGAGAGAGAAGAGAGAAGAGAGAAAGAGAGAGAGACCGAACGAAAGAGACAGCCAACCAGACCTACGAAGGAGAGCAGCCTAGGACGACACCAACTCCCCTCTCCCTCCCTCCCCTACCCCTCCTCCCCTCAAGGTACATCTGGGCGCCCGCCTCCTTCTGCCTTCGGTTTTCCTGGCAGAATTTTCCCCAGGAAGGAGATATTTTCAAGCCAGAGGTGGAGGAGAGGAGACAGAGAGGAGGGCGAAAAGAGGGGGATAGAGAGGACGAGAGGAGGGAAAAAGAGAGAGGGAGAGGAGAGGGGTGGAGGGAAGCTTGTTGTGGAAGAAGAGGGCGAGAGCAAGGGGAGGGAGAAAAGAGAGAGAGAGAGAGAGAGAGAGAGAGAGAGAGAGAGAGAGAGAGAGAGAGAGAGAGAGAGAGAGAGAGAGAGAGAGAGAGAGAGAGAGAGAGAGAGAGAGAGAGAGAGAGAGAGGAAAGAAAGGGAAGAATACCGGAAGAGGGAACGAAGTGGGGAAAAAGAGAAGAAAGGGAAAAAGATGAGTGGAGAAAAGAAAGTAAAAAGAGGAGGATGGAGAGAGGACACAGGTGCGAAGCGAGAGGAGAGAGGAGAGTGCAGCAAAGGGGACGAAAGGGAGAAAGGAGAAGGAAGACAAAGGGAGAGAGGGAGGAAGGGAGAAAGAAGAATGAAGGAACCAGGGAGAAAGGTTGGCGGAAATGGGAAAAAAATGAGACAGGAGAAAGGAGAAAAAAAGAAGGAAGACACGAGAAAGAAGAAGGAAAAGCGACCAAAACCGTAGAGAGAGGAGGAAAAACGAAGAGAAACAAGGGAAAGGAGAAGCGGAAAGACGGAATAAGAAAAGGAGAAATAAGAAGAGACGAATAAACAGCCGGAGAAACATCCTCCAAGCGGCGGCGGTGGCGACAGCGGCTGACGACGAGAGGGAGAGGGAGCCATGCTTTGGGGGGGGGGGGTGCTGGCGACGGCGGCGGGGAAGCGCTCGCGAGGAGGACCAGAAAGAGCGAGAGTAGGCGGAGCAGGGGGAGGGCAAGGGGGAGGGGCACGGGGGATGAGAGGGAGGAACTGAGAGAGAGAGAGAGTGAGAGAGAGAGAGAGAGAGAGATGGGGGAATGGGGGAGGGGAGAGCTGGGGACGGGGTGGGAGGCGGAGACGGGGGGAGGACGGAAAGGAGCGGGGGGAGGGGCCGTTGGTAAGGGACGGAGTACGGGGAGAGAGGAGAAGGGGAGTAGGGATAGAGCAGGAGGAAGGAGGAGTAGGGAAAGAACTGGGGGGGGGGGGGCGAGGGACGAGGGAATGGAAGGAGCTGAGGGGGAGGGGATGGGGAGATGGACGAGCGGAGCAAGAGGGACGGAGGAGGGGAAAAGGGGGGGGGTTGGAGAAGGAAGAGGGGGAGACGGAGCAGGAAGAGACACGGGTGGGGTGAGGAGAGGGGGGAGGGGAAAGAGGCAGACGAAAGAGAGAGAGAGAGAGAGAGAGAGAGAGATGAGCGAGAGAGAGGTGGAGAGCTGAGGAGGGGAGGAAGAGGAGGTCGGAGAGAGGAGAAGACGTCAAGGAAGAGACAGCAGGGAGCGGAGGAGCTGGAAAGAAGATAGAGAGAGGGGAGAGGTGAGAGACGGCAGAGGAAGAGAGAATAGGGAAGAGACGGCAGAGGAAAGAGAATAGGAGGAGAGACGACAGAAAGAGGGGGGTGAGAGAGAAAAAGACAACAGAAAGAGGGGGGAGGAGAGACGGCAGAGTTGAGGAGGAGAGGAGAGAGAAGAAGGAGAGACGAGAGGAGAGGGGGGGGGTAGAGGGGGGGAAGAGGGGGATGACCAGGGTACGATCGCATCAGCGGTGTACCAGCAAGCAGTGTCACGGTCTTGTCGTTTGTCACGGCCTCCTGGCTACGGTCCGCGGCCTAGCAAATGTACCATGGATGCTGCTTCATTGGCTATTGGCCGAGAGGATGGTTGCGGGGGAAGGGAAGAGGGAGAGGAGGAGGAGGAGGAGGAGGAGGAGGAAGAGGTGGAAGAAGGAGGAGGAGGTGGAGGAAGAGGATGAGGGAGAAAAAGGGAGGAGGAGGAGGAAAGAGAAAAGGAGGAGGAGAGAGGAGGAGAAGGAGGGAGAAAAGGAGGAGGGGAAAGAAGGAGGAGGGGGTGGAGGAGGAGAAAGAAGAGGGTGACGGAAAAGAGGAGGAGAAGGACGGGTGGAGGAAGAAAGAAAGAGAGGGAAGGAGGAAGAGGGGAAAGGAGGGAGAAAAGAAGGAGAAAGGAGGAGGAGGATAAAGGAGGGGGGAAGGAAGAGGAAGGGTGGAAGATGGGTGGAAAGTTGGGAATGAGAAGATGGAAGGGGGGAGGAAGAGGAGTGAGAGGGAGGGAATAAGGAAGCACGGAGGGAGGAAGAGAAGTTAAAAGAGAAGGAGCACAAAAAGGAGGTAAGGAGAGAAAGAAAATGAAAAAAGGGGTACAGCGGCAAGACATAAAAATGAAGGGAGTGGAAGAGAAGGAAGGAGACGATAGCCACCAAGACGAAGAAGAAAGCGAGGGAGAAGAAGGGAGATCAAGAAGAGAGAAAGAGCAGGGATAGAAAAGTACAAAGAAAATATAAAAAATGAATAACATAACACAGAAGAGAAAGAGAGAACATGTACATGACAGATGAGAAAGTAAGAACATGGCAAGAACTGAAGAACAAGAAAAAGGTGATAGCGAACAAACGAACGGAAAGAGAGTACTAGAAGAAGGAAGAAGAAATACGAAGAAAAATAGCAACACAGAAAATCAGAAAAAACGCAGAAGAGAGAGACGAAAGAGAGACCTGGTATTAGCAAACACGAGAGAGAGAGAGAGAGAGAGGGAGAGAGAGAGAGAGAGAGAGAGAGAGAGAGAGAGAGAGGAGAGAGAGAGAGAAGAACAAAACAAACTGAGACGCAGAATGAGAGAGAGGAACAAAACAAACCGAGAGAAGAGGAGACAGGAGACGGAACAAAAAAACGAAGAGAGAAGAGAGAGAGAGAGGTAAAAAACAACGAGAAGAGAGAGGAGAGAGAGAGAGAGAAGAGAGACGAGTAGAGAGACAGAGAGAGAGAGAGAGAGAGTAGAGAGAAAGAGAGAGAGAGGAGAGAGAGAGAGAAGAGCGAGAGAGAGCGAAGAGGAGAGGAGAGAGAGAAGAGAGAGACGAGAGAGAGAGGGAGAGAGAGAGAGAGAGAGAGAGAGATTAAGAGAAGAGAGAGAAAGAGAGAGGAGAGAGAGAGAGAAGAGAGAGAGAGAAAACGCAGAAGATAAGGAAGAGACAGGAACAATCAAGGAGAGCAAAGAGAGAGAGAGAGAGAGAGAGAGAGAGAGAACAAGAAGAACAGCGAACAGAATAGAAACATACGCGCACATTGTGCAAGGAAGAGCCGGACCCCCGGCCTCATATTGCGGTAACCACCCGGGCGACGTGGGAGCCTACCGCACCGCGCCGCAGACTATCATCACGATACCAAGTATCTTCATAGACCTAGCTGCTATGTAGGTCACAAGCGCCAGTCTGCACGCGAGAGGTCATAACCGATCAGTAATGAGGGGCGGGGGGGAGGGGGCGGCGGAGCAGTTGGGGAAAGTAGGCGGGGGTGAGGAAGAGGAGAGGGCGGAGGGAGAGGGGTGAGGAAGGAAGGGCGGAGGGAGAGGGGAAGAGGGACGAAGTAGGCGGGGGGGTAAAGAAGAGAGGAGAGAGGGCGGGAGGGAAGGGAGGGGGGAAGAAGGGACGAAGTAGGCGGGGGGTGAGGAGAGGAGATTGGAGAGGGCGGGGAGGGGAGATGGGGGAAGAGGGGGTTAGAGGTG